TCAAAAAAATTTCTATTAATTTTTATGGGAATCATTTGGAATAGAAACAAAAGCTTGGGTAATATATTCAATTTAGCCAGTGCTATTCTTCCCAGCAAGGATAATTGCAAATTAGCCCATTTTTCCAAATCACCCTTAATACCCTTCAATAGTTTATCATAATTGTCTTCTTTCAGAGTGGTACACTTGGCTGTAAGATAAATTCCCAAATATTTAACCTTTTTAACAATCTGAAAGTCTACTTGTTCCACCAGAGTTTTTCTCTGCTCCTGTGTGAGATTTTACTAACAGTTTCGTCTTTTCTCTATTTCTTTTCATCCCAGTAACCTCGCCATATTTTTCAATCCTTTGTACAAAAAACCTAGTTTCTGGAGGACACCTCCAAAACTCAGGACACAGGAATTCCATGAAAGGATGATGACCAGCAAGATCCTAGTTGGAAAGGCGGTTCCACCCCTTGTGGCCATGATGGGGTTAGTTGCCCATCTTCAGTTGATAGAACAACCCTTTGTGGCTACCAAAGAACCCTCAAGCAGGCCGTGCATTGTTGGGGTGCTCTCTTTCCCATGCACAAGCCGCCCTGGGGAGATAAGTGTGGGTTTGCTTAAGAAGACACTCCATCATGGAACCTATGATAGGTTGCCATGTTGTGTGAACCCAGTCTGTGTTAAACCATAGTTAGATATGACGGGAAAGAAGCAGAGCAGACTGAACAATCCCTTGGCGTGCTTTCGGTCTTTCAGTCATGATTAAAAGACAAGGCTGGCGACACTGGGTCAGTGATACTGTAAATCAAGGGAATAGGTGAGGGCCCAGACATGAGCTTTCACCAGCCTTCTAAATATATTGGACTAAAATTCCCAGAATTCCCCATAACTTTGCTGAGTTACATCATTGCCTCAAATTGCAGCTCAAATGCAATGAATTTTTTAAAGAAGCAATGGATGTGCTAATAGTTACTGAGCAATAATAAGCATTTCCCCCTCTACCTCCTCCTTTAAGCCTCTGTCAATGAGATAATGATGTGTATCAACCCCAGGAGGCAGAGAGAGTAGCTAGGGCTGTGTGAGGGCTGGAGCCCGGAGCAGCCCTGCTCGTGGACCCCTGCAAGGTTTAGAGTTGGCACCAAAAAGGGATCCTGCAGCAAGTCCAGCCACATCAGCCACGGAAGTGTCCCTGCATCCAGGGGCCGGCGCAGGTCAGGGGTGATCCTGGGTCCTTGTAACATTTTCCTGGTGGGGATCTCTCCTTGGCGACATGGAGTCCTGCTTTGCCACCTCTGCCTCTCTGTCCCGCCAGCCCGGCCACGCAAGGAGGCTGCGTGATGCTGAGCCGTGTGCCTGAAAAGGAAACTTGAGTGTCTGGGCTGCACCATACAGCCTCTCGCGTTGACCTTTTGTTTGGTGCCAGGAGTGGCAGGGGAGAGTTAAGGTTCTGTCCAGGGAAGGGGCTGAGTGCAGCCAAAAAAGCGGAGGTTCCTAGATCGACCCCTGTCCAAGCTTTCAAGCAGCTACTCCAACACATCTTGAGGGTGCGGGAGGAAGGGTCTGCGCACCCCTGAAGTAAAGGAAAACAAGTGCAATTTTTGGGGGGAAACATATAATTTTTCTGCAATGTGATGGTCGAGATGGGTGTCAAAAGCTGGGCTTCTGCCAGGAAAAAGGGGGCCAAGGGAGCCCTTCGGATTGCCGGCGGCTTGGCCGGGTGAGTGGCTGTCGACACCTCTGAGGACTTGAAGGACAGGTTGAGAGTGGGAGGCGGTCGCACAGGAGGAATTTCCTTTTAAAAAGGGAAAGAAAAGGAGCAGCCTCTTTGAAGCCCACAGTTTTATGAGATTGTCGTCCTTGGGAGCTGAACAGTAAAGATGACTCGAGCCGCTTCGGGCTTTGCAAAATTACTACCAACGAAAGGTTGAGAGTAACTTTATCAGGAGGTTGGAGTGGCCATTAAAACTTCAAAGGCAGTGTGTGACTTGAGCTTTACCTGTCACTATCAAGCCTATTTATTATAGGAAGATCTGAGCCCTTTTAAACGTTAACAGGGTGATAGCAATGTCACGTCTTGGGTATGAGGTGGGTCCCCTTTCTGCGCCCCATGGTAGGACAGATACGTTATTTTGTTCTTTACTTCCTTTGCAGTCCAACAGGTGAAAGTCAGATGAAAACATGCCCCTGCCTAGCCCAGGAAAGGCCAGTCCTTGGTTCCTTGGGCAGGTGCCGGGGTGAAGGACTCCCTAAGGCCCACCAAGGATGCCCTCAACCCTTTCATGAAGGCACTGCAGCAAGATATGGGAGGGACGCACCTGGTGGCACTTACTGCAGGAACCCTCAACCCGGTGCTAAGTCCACTTGGGTCATGTGCTTCCTTAACTCTGAGGAACCCGGTCCCACAAAGTCAATAGCCCTATTTAAGTACCACTGCTCAGATCCCCACATACACCAGCTCCATTTCAGAACGTCATGGCGAGTGTGCTGAAGCGGAAGTGATATGCTCAGGGATGCTGGGGTCTCGCCTGTGCACCCCCACTTCCGTTCCCTGTGTAAATGCACGCATTACAAGCTGGCTTCTTTCCACCCCAGCCTCTGGCTTTGAGAAAGTGGGTGCTTCCAAATGCAAGGCACAGGACATTAACAAAGCATTGCTCTTCTGCTGATGGCCAGAAGCAATGGACACGCCACTCTAGTGGGGGTATTGTGCTCTGTCTGTGTCGACATCCCAGTATGTTCGGTCCTTTCAACTTTTTACAGGCCATGGCTTTGATGCAAGTAGCAGCTTCCTGGGTAACTAAAACCATCGCGGCTGAGCACGTGTTCACCCATCTCCCTTCTCAGATGCATGTTTTATATGTACCTCTTTGCTGGGGGCTCACCCATTTCTAAAAGCCAAACTTTTAAGTGCACCTACAGCACTTTTCTCCCCTGCTTGGATGCACAATTTAATGCGGTGAGGGGAGCTTAGAGTGTCAAGGAAGCTGAGAACAATGCCTCCAGGCCAGGCTGTCTTACCAGGCTGGTCCCCTAGCAGGGTCACCCAAGGCGGAATGGTCAAAGCAGAAACACCAGGATAAGATGTATCCTCCCTGTCCATGGGTGATGGTAACACCAGCAGACTCTAAGATGGATAGCTCCACTGGTGATGGGGGCAGAGGAGCACCTGAAGGGCAGCTGCTGAGCCACAGCAGTAGCTGAAGGCAACACTGGTGGAGAATCTTCCACAGACGACTGAGTGACACTCAAGCTAATTCTGGTTTGTACTTAAGAAGGAAATGCTAAACATCTGAATATTGCTACCTTGAAAACCCTATGATGAGACAATCCAAAATGAAAGATTTTATTTATCTTGGCTCAATCATCAGCTGAAATGGAGACTGCAGCCCAGGAGTTCAAAGAAGGCTGAAACGTAGAAGGGTGGCAATGAAGGAACTAGAAAAGCTAATCAAGAGTAAGGATGTTTCACTGGAGACCAAGGCCCAGATCTTCCACATGACTGCAGTCTCGATCACCATGTATGGTGTGAAAGCTGGTCAGTGAAGAAAGCCGACAGCAAGATGCTTTCAAAGCATGGTGCTGACGGAGAATGTAGTCGATACCCTGGACTGACAGAAAGGTGAACAAGCAGGACCTACGAGTAGATCAAATCACGCCAGAACTTTCAAGCTAGAAGCAAAAATGACAAGACGGAGGCTGTCCTACTCTGGGCACATCATGAGAAAGCAAAACTCTCTGGAGAAGGTATTCATGCTAAGGGAATTTGAAGGCAGAAGAAGAAAAGGGAGACCGACCATGAGATGGCTTAACTCTATGAAGGAAGCCACTGCCTTCCATTTGCAAGGGCTGAACAAGACGGTCATGGATAGGGAGCTCTGGAGATCTTTCATGCATAGGGTTGCCATGGGTTGGAGACCGTTTGATGGCACATAGAAACAACACTTTTCTAGCTATATTTTTTTTAATGCAAAAACAGTGGAGAAGTAAAGGATGTTATGGTGTTACACATGAGCTGGATTGACTCCATAAAGGAATTTATGGACAAAAGCCTTGAATTTGCAATAGCTGAGCAGGGCTGTGAAGGACAAGACATTTTGGAGAGTCACCCAAAGTCAGAGATGATTCGATGGTCCATAGCAATAACGGATCGTTATAGGTAATGGGGTAGGGGGAACTCTTTTCAGTCACTTCCAGTTTGGCAAGTTGGTTAATGGGGATAACTGGAGAGGATTTCAAAGGGTGCAGATGTATGGCTGGAGAATGCTGGAAACTGTAGGACTTTTTCTGGTTTACACATGAGCTTGATTACATCTCAAATGGGGGCACATGTGCTTTGGCAATGAGCATTTTTGTCAGAGCATTTCGCCCCTATCATGCTAAATAACTTTTCTTTAAAGCAGTGTGCTTTACACATTGTACAGTAACACTAACATGCTATTTTTTAAAAAAGAGAAGGACCATACTAGTCATCAGCGTGAATCGCCTTGCTGGAGCGGCAGCGGATGGAACTGACTATTTGGGTGCAGGCTTATGCACAGTGCCCTCGGGGATCATAAGCTCCTAAACCTGGATCCTCAGAATACACCTGTGCATGATGGGGGCAGAGGTGAAAATGAGTTTTGCTTCCCTGTCCTTGCTTCCTGCATTTTTGCCTGCCTAGCCCGAGCAGTTCAGAGAAACGGGAAGGAGACTGGAAAGCCACCAGAACAGCTCATATCAGTGTACTAGAGGAGAACACGGCTGCAGCACTCTTTCATTTAAGTGGCATTTGCTATATCATCATCATTATTTTAGTGTGTGTGTGTGTGTGTGTGTGTGTGTGGTCAGAAAAGTGCTTTAGTCTTCCTTAAATGATGGATGTAAAATGCTGAAATGGGATCCACTGTAAAACATATTTGAAATGCGTGCTGACCAATGATCATTTCATCTGATGGATTTGGCCTGAGTCAAAATGCCACCTCTAACAGAAAGGTGAGAGAAGCACTTATGGCATCCACCGCTGTGGAGGTTAGGCAGGGAGAAGAGGAAAGCAGCAGCACTGGGAAAGCGCAGGGGCCCCATCAAAGACCAAGGCATTGTGTGGATCCCCTCGCCTGCCCGCAGGCGGTGAATGACTGGCCCATGGCCATTCCGCAAGGAGCGCATCTGTCTTCATCAGGAAGCAGCCTATGCACGGGCGCCCCATCCCTTGCGGGCCTGCCCAGCCCCTCGGTCCTCTTCGGGGGTCCTTCCAAAGTGAGTGAGGAGGGGGTCAGCAAGGAGCAGGGCCTTTCAGTTGTGGCACTCCAATTTTGGAACGAGCTCCCCAGAGAGGTGCACCAGGCACCTACTTGGTGTTCTTCTCGGCACCAGGCGAAGACCTGGATTTTAACAGTTTTAAA